CCTCTCACACAATTTTTTGCAAGAAAAAATTGCAAACCCTCTCATAACACACAACTACCCAAGTCCCCAATACACCCAAAGACTAATGTTGTTGTGGTGAGTAGACTCAAACTATCACCCCTTATTTATAATAGTAGTCTACCAATTCCCTTCTTCAAAATTACTCGATGTGGGACTTTGGAGGATACCCACACACTTTGGGCACAACACTAATATATGATTTTTTTTAATAAAATTTAATAGTAAATAATATTTAGTTGGTGGGTCTCAAACTTTAGGTTTAGTAGCATTATTGTCTCGCTGGCACTGGGTATAGTAAACTCGTTTCCTCTGAAGATTCGATCATCTGACCTAACTTAATTTCATTTTGTTTTAGCATATATAATTTTACTTGATGACCATAATAATAGAAAAAATTAAGCAGGAGACATATTTACATTAATTCCCACACACTACTCAAATATTATTTATTTGGCTAATAACACTCTAACACATTTGTCGTGCATTAGGGAATAAGAAAGGCAAGAAAATAAATATAAGTATTGAATATATAGAATGTGTTGATCATGTATATAGAGAGGTGTTTGAATCATGCATAATCACGGGTTGCTAGCATTTAGCAGTCTCTGTTAAATTTGCCTTTGAATCAAAGGTAACCAACCTTGTGGTCCGAGGAATCAGAGTCGCTGTTCCCCAGTACGTGGCTCCGTGTGTAGAGGATGTAAGCGATCACAAGTAATCTATGAACTCAAACTAACTTAATGGCTTTGAGTAAGTGTTTTTTCGTGTTTAGATTAGATTTAATTTAACTCAGTCAAAGTTTAATATGATATAAGTCGGATAATTTTTTTTTTTGTATTTTTGATTTGTGACTTCAACTAGTTATAATAATAACAATATTTTAATGATTATTTGTTTATAATAATATTCATTATCACTTGTTATTCAATAATAATTTTTGTGATTTTAGGTTGATAACATTGGAATAACATAACATACTTATTTTAAATTTTATTTTGTATTAGTGAATGTTAGTTTTTTGTAGAAGTGTTTAGAGATGGGGTTGGTTCGAATTTTGGTAAAACTCCAATTCGAATAAATTAAATTTAATTGCTTTTAATTCATCGAATATCCAAATGATTTTTAATTCTTTTAAATAAATAGATTTTTGATATATTGTCCAAAATTAACTAAATTGAAAATTTTGTAATATAGTACCTTTTTGTTTGTTTTTAACCTATTTAAAGTTTCAAATGCACTACAATATGCGAAAATAACACTTAATATATTATGATATAGTTCTTCATGGTTTCTTTTAAGTATTTGAAAAAAGAATGAAAAAATATACATATTAATCAAAAACGTCTTTAAAATAATCAAAATGATATATACATATTAATTGTAAACCAAATAAAAAATAATAATATATAAATTAATTGGTTTGACCGGAATTGGTTTAAATTTTAAATGTGTAAATTTGATACCTGAATTAATTAATATTATGTTTAATTGGTATATTTTGGGACGACCCTAACAAAAAAAATGGACCAATTTAATTGGTTCAATTTGAATTGTTAAGTTTGTCAAATTGATCTGATCTAATAAACATCCATAATTTTTTTAGTTAATAATAATATAATAAATTAATAAATTTATTTTTGAATTTAATTTATATCATTATTTATTTTATATGTCAATAACATTATATCTATAATAATATATCAAATAATTTATATTTATTTTTAAATTTAATTTTTTTAAAAAAATAAATAAATTTAATTATATTAAATTTAATAGAATCAATCAAACTCAATCGTGATTAAATTAGATTAAATTAAATTTTCTAAAACATTGCACAAATAATCATTACATTTTGATCGAATCAAATAAAAATTCATTCAAATATCCGACTCGCTTACACTAGAATTGCGTTGCATTACCACATGATTGTTTGTGAACATTAGAAGAAAAGTCAAGAGTATCAACGTAGGAGAGATGTCAAGTTACTTCCACAAAATGATTGCCACCACTCTCTGCAGTGCTGCCTAACATCATCTGAGATGAGGAATGATAACGTACGAGTGTTCCAGATTCTGCATTCACGTGTCTAAACTCAAAATCAACTTCCCAACACTTCCAGAGAAACTTTCTCCTCTAGCAATCAGACACTAGAAACTTGGTTTTAGATCACATAATGAATAAATTTAGACGGAAAGTTTATAAATTTGAGTTTTATATTTTGGTTTGCACATATTTTGATGGAAACCCTTGCACGTGAAGGCAAGCCTTGTGGTCCAAACCCAATCACATATAGCTGTTAAAAATTAAAATCAATTTATGCCCTCTGAGAAAGATATAAAATCAAACGTTGATATTCAATTTTATTTTCAGACATTTTATTATTACATACATTCAAGAAGAGGAAAATTTTAAATAAATATTTCTTAATTGTTATCATGTATAAAAGGAGGTATAAGAGTAGTGTAAAAATTGAAGTGAGAAAAAAAATATTATTATATTCTTCTTTTATTATGATTTTGCATAGGAAGAAGATTAACATTCCTTTCTAATCCATATTACAAAATGGACAGGCAGGTAATTGGCTTATAATGATCACATGGATTACCGAATCAACGTGGAGACCAATAACAAAGACTAAGCCACTTTGGATAATTAAAAAAAAAAAAAAAAAGGTACAGCTTATAATTAATTTCTTTTGTGATTATTAACTTTTATAATCAGATTGTTTTCTCCATCAAACTGAATGTGAAAAAAAAATCTTTTAAGTACATTAATATTATTATATAATTAAAAAATTAAAATTTATCGGCTTGGTTATGTTATAGGATATGGTTGGATTTTCAGATCAATTAGGCAGCAGCATAAATTTTTCTCGAATATCTAAGCAATGAAAAATTAATTAAAGGCTTGAAATTACTTAATCTAATCTCACTGAATTTATATATACAAGGGCACTAGTGGTACGAATTATAATTCTACTGGTCCCTCTTTCACTTTCATCATCACGTTGATGTACTCGTCCTCTTTAAAACTGACAATAAAAGAAACACAATCATTTCCGTGATAGTGAGGATACCCTTTGGCTCTAATAGCTTTGTTAAAATTTCACTAAGCTCATAGAAATCTGCATATAAATAAATCTAAGTTGTCCAATTCCTATGTTCTCTTTCACTGATTCGTTGACTAAAACAATGTTTTGATTGACAGTGACCAAGTTTGGAAGCAACTTCTTGTAAATATTTCAGCTTATTTAACAAGCATTGTATTGCATGCATGCGTCTGTTCCAAGAGTGAGGGTGACTCTTTTTATTAAGAACACCATGACAAAAGCCTAAAACCAAGGTTTGCAGGTCTAGGTTATGGTTTTTTTTTTTTTTGTATGGATAGAGCAATTATTAGACTGATTAATATTTTTCTTACACAAATTTATCCATTACAACCACTTTAATTTGGCTTAGAGTGGCGGTTATTTGCTACGTACTAGCGTTGATTGCATCAATCAAAGCGGGAAAAAAAATTATCAATTGAAATTGTATTATTCTTGAAGTTTGTGTTATTGATTCTAAATTAAATTGAATGCATATCACACTCAATTTTTTTTTAATTGAAAAGTTACTTTAATATCATTTAATGTGTACATATTAAAAAACTAAATGATAAATTATTTTAAATACTTTTATTCAAATATACTAAATTTATAAATAATTACTTTTATTTTTCAGATTATTTCTTGTCTTGAACTTTAGTTAAAACTTCAAATTGTTTTATTTTATTTTTGAATAAATTTCTCAATCTTGTAAATTTGAATACTTATATTTTTTACTTATTTATTCAAATTATATATAACTACACATGCATTTTTGATATAATTTAAAACAATTTCTTCTTAATTTGTATTTTAAAATTTGATCCAAGTTAAAAAAAAAAAAAATACTAGTAGAGTGTTAATTGGCGATAGTTAAATGTGTTCCACCAATTCCGACGAGTTACAACTCATCACGACTAACTCAGGCAATATGTTAGATACGCGTGCATTAATTATGATACAAATTTAATATGAGACGTAGTTTTCCAAGTTGAGATAGCAAAAATCTAAAGAAATGCATTATGCAGGGCAATATGTTATCATTTTCAGCCACGTCTATGGAGCAATAGCCCAATAAACAAAAGGAAACGAAACTACGTCATAAAAGTATCCATAGGGAACAAGAAGCCCAATAGGCAATAGCATTAGGATTCGAGGCTGATTTCATTTCAATAGTTAAAGTAAAGGATGAAATATAATTTGGATCTTCTAAAATTTTTCAATAGTTTTATTTTCAAAATTTTGTCATCATTCCTCTAATTTGGAAATGCACATTTTTTTCTACTCATTAATTTAGATAACACTTTTATAACCATTTTTAGTACTATTTAAACTACTTTGATAATCATGAAAGTGATACAATTTTTAAATTAAAGAGGCCAAAATAACAGTTTTACTTCTTTGAAACTAAAACGAATTAAAAAAATTATAGAGAAACTAAAAATTATTTCACTTTTAATTAAATGAATAAAACCAGAATAAATTATATCTGATTCTTTCCTTGATAAAGAAATTATCAAGATAGTGTTTGTTTCGAGATATAGAGAAAGATATTTGGAAATATTAATTCATTCTCCTGTTTGATACAAGTTTAGAAAAAAAAAATTTCTTCAAATTATTTATTCCTTGGAATATCAATTACTCACAACTCCTTATTCCCACAATAAGGGTGATCTTGCATTCTCATGGAAACGATTCCCACTTGGCTTCCATATGTTTTTTTTTTCTTTCACTTTTATTTTTTCAATGTTTACCATAATATTTTGTTTCTTCTGAAATTACTAAATGCCCAGCGATCATGTCTATGGAAATAATATTCTTAGACATAATCTGATTCTCGACAATACAACCTTGTACCTCCTAAATCCGATATTACTGAAGCCTATAAAAACCGTGAAAAAATGATAACTAGACCGATGTATAGATATTGAAGCAGTTGTGGCAGATCAAATATGTACATTGCTGGATGAGACTTGAGAGGTAGATAACGATTACCAGAGGCAAGAGGATTGAGGAAGTTTAGATCATACAGAAATAACTTTTCATATATTATAATTGACCAAAAATAGAGAATCCATGGTGAAAAGGAAGGAAGAAAAATCTTTTCCTCTCTTCTCCACGGCATTCTGATTTCTATAGATTGAATTACACTCCTCAAATTGGTTAGCTTCCAAGCTTCTAGGTAACAACTCATGCTGCTGGATACCGTGTTGAGTGTGTTCATGATAATGTTCATTTGTTGCTCAAAGTCACAGCAGTGAAGTGTGCTTGGACAATGGAGATTGCCCTTCGCAAGGACATTTGATTTGATATATCATACGAGGATATATAACCTTCTATGAATAAATATTACAGTTGTGGTTACTTTCCTTGCTTCTTACCTGCAATCCAGGGATCACGTGTTAAAAAGAAATGCCATGCTAATGTTCTCAACCGATTTGATTGATTAGCTTTCGAGTAGCATAGTTCCTTAATAATGAACTCAAGAAGTTTATGCATAAAAATGAAGGAGAAAACATAGTAAGTGATAAAAGCAACTATACAATACCTCTCTGAAACCATGATCTTCTGACGGTACGACGGATGTGACGCTCATGTCTTTCCAAGAGTTCATCAACTGTGTGCATTTGAGACAGAAGAGGCCCTGAAAACTCTACCTTTTCTCCTTGATCTTGGTAACTCTGTTAGGAGGGAAATAAATAAGAATCATGTCCATGCGAGGACGCATAAATTGCATATTCTGGCTTCTGATCCAAGAAAATTAATAACTAGGGCGAGTAAGGTAAAGTAAAGAGTAAATTTCATCAAATATTAAGTAATTTTTGTAAGACTAAAGTTTTTTTTTTTTACTAATAAGTTGTTTGTTCGAGTGATATTAGACTCAATCTCTTTAAATAAGGTCTTGGTTCCAGTCTTGTGTATGAAAAAACATAATTAGGAAAGAAGACCTCATTAAAAGCCAGCCAGATTCTTTGACAGATATTAGCCATCAACGAGAGAGTGAAGCTAATGGATCCCCACTAAAGTTTTTTGGTTTTTAACGGACAGTTAATTATCATCTAAGCAAGATATTAAAGTTCCTGACAACTCACTTGTCCTAAATGATGGACCATGAGTCATCACTAAACAAGGCTGATATTATTTCAAGAAAATATGAATATCTAATGCTTAAATGCCATATTAATGAATGTAGTAAACTTAATAAACTTACCAAGTTACTTCTCTTGGATAGTGAATCTTGCCTGTTATAAAGCGCCATGGACAGTTCTTGTGAATGGTACTCCTCAGAAGTATCAAATGAATCTGGACGATCAAACTTACTCCATTGATTTTGCATAGCTAGCTTAGAAATTTCAAGTAGGTCATGGCCCCTAGAGTTGGTGTGTGCCCCAAAAAATTCCTTATTTTCATAGTTTCTGGATTCAGAATTATTCCTTGAATTCAGTGTCGAAGTTTCTAATGAATTAAAGATATATCCTCTAGAAATAGACCGACTGTGGGTTCTAATTGAAGTGTCATCTTTGCGCCTTTTTGCCCATGCAAAGCCACTTGATTTTGAAACTTGCAATGGTCCAGGAAAGGGAATATCTACTTGAGATGCATTCTTCATCTGGGAAGCACCTTCTGGTTTAACACTAGACTGCTTTGGTGCCTCCTCACATGTGTTTGTGTTCTCTTCTTTAAGGGTGTGGAAAGATTTATCATCAATCTTTTGGGATGTTTGAGTTTGACTTGTCAAATCCTGAAGGAGAAGAATATATGTTAAATGAGAATTCATTTTCGGTAATTAGACCACTGCTAATCGGTGTGCATGCACAGATGAAGAAACACAATGATGCAAGAACAAAAAATAGCAAGATAGACCTCTGCTGGGGCTAATTTACTCAGTCCTAGTGGCTTTCTTGATGGTTTCTTCGATTCTGGTCCGCAAACTCGCCCACCAATTTTTTTCCTGAAAGTTCATCACCGTATAATTTTATGAAAAAGATAACAAGTAATAATTGCAGAAACGGAAATTTCAAGATTAAATTTTGTTTATTATGCTCGATTATATTGAAGTTTCAGCTTTCAAGTTTTACTACCTTAAGAGTCAGTTTGGTAAATTGACCCTTAATTTGTCATTCGTGTTATTTTGAACTTCTAATAAATATTTGTTTTTATTCACCTTCTGAAAATAAATAATTCTAGTCTCACCAGGTTACTTTTATTCTCAATTTACTGCACAAGTATGCTAATTCAAATGACATTTGAAAGATAAAAGAACCAATCAAACCTCCCTGGCATTCTAACGCCAAACCTTGACCCTGATTAAATATTCAAACAAATTCTTTAATGGATTAGCTTATGATATCAATGTATGGTGATGGACTTGACCAAGTGAATGAAAAATGCAGATATTCTCTTGATTTGACCATACCAGCCAGACAGAAGGTAATACATCACTAGGGACACTGGTTGATATGTGACAATCTAAACCTTTCTCAGCCAATAAAACTGCATAAAATAGGTAGACAAGATGATTGATTCTCACCTTCTCGACTCCTCTTCATGTTTCGCATCAATCTCCTTGCTAGGTGGGTATATTGGTAAGCTTGATGGATCACATGCATAAGGTTTTGTTTTGAAATACTGAAAGTGGTAAAATTATTTTATCAGAAGACTAGAAGTGTCCAAAACCATACACCAAGTCATCAATGCTTCACATAGCCATAAAGTAAGTTTGCAGATGGATGATGAACAGATTTGTGCCTAGGAGGAGGCTAGGACTAACAACACAAAAACAAACAGATTTATATGCATTAAAATATCTTCAAAATTTATTACCAATTTCAAAATTAACAAGGGCAATCAAAAGACTGTTTTTGCAATAGAGATTAATCACTAGATTCTATGCTGCCAAATTAACCTACCTCCAATGAGAGAGCAGACGAGGCAGTTCCACGTTTACTTGGTTCAACAGAAAGAAGGGTCTGTAGAAGATTTACACTGGATGCATGAAAATCTTTAAATGTCTCTCGGAGGCAACTATCATATGGTTGCTGTGGCTTGAACAATGTTGCATGAGGAAGTCTGGTCTTTTTCCAGTATTCATCAGGTGGGGAGCCACAAAGCTTGAAAATTTTGTGCAGTTGCTCAACCTGGATGTATAACAAAGTTGAATTCAGAAGAGATTCAAAAGAACATTCAATAAACAAAATATTAGTATTCTCATTTCCAGTTGATTCGTTTATTATCAATAAGCTGGTTAACAATCACCATGTAGTTTGATTCCAGTCCACTCTCCTCTGTACCAATATCATATACAACTAAACACACAACGATAGCATCAATGTCAAACAAACCAAATAGTTAGTTTGCCACAAGATCTCATGCAATAGGAACGGGACTAAAATTTCTACTCTGATCAATTATTGTCAGCAACTGCATAGTATTTATTTTGAAATTTACAATGTAACTCAGATATAGTAAATGTAACAGAAACAACGAATGAAGCTCAAATCAGTTTGTAGGCCTGAGTTTACTACTTTGTAAGAGCGGGAAAACAAGACAGTCGAGACTGATATCTAGGTAACATGCCTTTCAAGTCTAGGTTTGAAACTTAAAAGTGGCATAAACCACAGGCCACTTAAGCATTCGACCAAAATTTTGTACATCAACAAATACAATGACAGAAAAGTGGATTACTATATTTGTCTAATAAGATCTAATCCAGTTTTCACCCACTAGCATCATCAAAGGGGAATTTGATTCTGAACACAAAATATCAAATGGGGAAGGAAAAAAGTCCATACATTTTGAAAAGGTTACTTTACTACCTCAGTTCTCCCCTGAAGTATAGGCTTCCCAATTAGTAATTCTGCAAATACACAGCCAACGCTCCAGAGATCCACGGATGGACCATAATCTGTTGAACCGAGCAAAAGTTCTGGAGGACGGTACCATAAGGTGACAACACGACTAGTGAGGGGTTGCTTGTTCCCAGAACTGGAGAAATTTGCTAATCCAAAATCTGCCACCTTCAATATCCCTTCATTATTCACCAAAAGATTTGACCCTTTGATGTCCCGGTGCATTACACCCCGTGAGTGACAATGCTCAAGACCAGATAACAACTGTTTCATGTAGCATTTGATCTGCACAACAAAATCATTTCATCCTTTTAACTAAGCATCACAACAGCCAGTTGGCACTTTTTGTGTCATTTATCTCATGTTGCATAAGAAACAAAGCTGCAAACTCGAAACATTCATACCTGTGATTCACTGAACTTGATTTCTGGTCTAGACAAGAGCCCCGTGATGTCGTGCTCCATGTACTCAAACACAAGGTATATGCTACAAGACAATCTAGAAGTAATCAAGCCATCCAGTTTAATGATGTTTGGATGATCAAGCCTTCTAAGAATCATTATTTCCCGTGCCATGAACCTCACACTCTCTGGCTCAAAATTGTCAAACCTAACCTTCTTCAAAGCCACTATCTTCCCGGTCTCAATCTCCTTTGCTCGGAAAACACTACTATATGTACCCTGCCCAATCTATTCATCCAGTTCGAAAATATAAACCAAATGTCAAAACTCAATAATAAACACTACTAGAAAAAAGAAACATCTTATATACAACTCGAGAAAAATCAATATTCAACATACATTTATATCAAGGTTTTAAAAACTGCAATTTCAGAGGCAACATCAAGATTTTTGGGATATCAGTTACCCCATTGCACCAAAACTATGATAGCATTTATCTATAATTTCTCTCTATAAATGATTGTGAGGAAGCTACGTAATTGAAGTCACATTTTTCTACAATTTCCAACATATCAAAGGTTGCGAGCAAACTATAACTACAATTTTTTTTATGGGTAGTAATTACAATGACAACAATTCAACTTAGAAATATATGTATACTAAGCTAGCCTCCACCACCAGAATCTAGTTAATCAACAATTGCTATTTAAAACCTTGTTTATATCATTCCAACAAGTTTGAGAGATTTCATCCTTGCAAATAATACCTAGGTAATCAAAGCATAACATTACCTCCCCCACAAAAAAAAAGCTTTGAGAAAAAAAAAATTGATAATCTGACATAACGAAATGGTGGTTATTATTTATACGAACCTTATCAAGTTTCTCAAATGCGTCAGCACGAAGAGGCACCCAACCGTGAATGGCTTCACAGGCGACGGCGCTGAGCCACGCCGGCCACCCCGCCGCCGCCTGCTCTCCCTCGACGTACTTACTGAGGTTCCCCAATCTGAAGCTGAGAGAGTCACTTTCACCATTGGAACTCGCTCTCCCTGACTCACCCAACTCGCTCCTACTCGCTCCCACTGACTCACTCTTCTTCTTATTCCTGTTCTTCTCCAACTCAACCGAGTGCTCAATCGCCGGCGTCACTGACACCGCCTGCTTCGCAACCACGCACCCCATTACACTACGCCTCACCACACCATATCACTCCCCAACAAGTTCCGACCCACCACGCAACCGTTCCACTTTCTCCGGTTCCTCGGGTCAAGTTAGTTCCTTTTGCAACCGCAGAGAACGAGGGTGAGCATCAGCAACTGTTTAACGACACGAGGGGAAATGGGTCTGGTCTTTTAAACTCGCGTAACACGAACTCAGACACAGATACAGACACATACAAAGGACTTTGTTTGTTTCATTAGCTTTCTCACTTTTTTATTTTATTTTATTTTTGTTTCTCCGGCAATTGCGGGGAGAGGGTGGACGTTGGGATCTTAATGAGGCTCACTGAAACACAGCGCCGAAATCAACGGAAGGATGGAACTCTTTTGTGCGTATTTGCCTTTTGAATGACAACGAACGAAAACGCGAAATACTAGTTTTGTTGTATTTGTTACTTTGCATTGTTGTAGCCTCATAGGTTGATGTCAAGTGAAAGATAAACTACTAGAAACTATGGAAATTTTTGCATGGAGAGCGCGTGTGTAAACGGGTGGTTGCATTGTTTGTATGTATGTGAATGTGAGAGATATATTCTTTTTTTTCATTTCGGTCATGTCATGCCAATCACCAATTATTATCAATGACAATTAATATTGCTTCCATACTGATAAATGACATTGGGTCGTTGTTGCGTTGATTAATGCGTCTTTGTAAATCTTATGATTTTCCACTTTCTTTGAATTTAAGAATTGGAGTTTTTTTTTTTTTTCATACTTCATGCACCATTTACTTACGTGGGGACACCGCAATAAGAGGGAGATTTTTATATGCTTCTGGGTGTATTTGAATCTTGATAATTAACTTGATGATGTTATGTTACTAAGTTAGTGAGGAAGGTAATTAAAAAAAATTAATAATGAATCTTTTAATTGTTTCATGTAAACGTGTCATTGTCATATTGGTTCCAAATAGAAGGAAGATCTTAATCTGCATAAAATTTGCTTACTTTAACTGTGTTTAGTGTTTACAGTTCTCCCATGGCTGACATATTCATGTTTACTTTCGTCAGTTACTGACTTAAAGTCCACGCATTATTGGGTTTGATTTTGAAAGATTGAAATAATAATAATAATAATAATGGAGCAGGCACCACCTCAGTGCCACAAAATTTTCTTCGTGGTTTGACACTAGGTTATGAAAATATTACAGTCTATCTTTTCCTATCTTAGGTGTAGCTATCGACCACAGTTCTCACTTCCTTAGAGATAACGCTCTCAAATGTTGCATGTTTCTGAGTGGCCGTAGAAAGCGTGCTGCTCAGGATAGGGCTGACTAGGGAACTCACTATTGGGACCATTTTTTTATACAGGTAAAATTTGCCCAAATAATCCCATTTAAATTTGATTAAGATACTAACTTTTAAAAGGATAAGGTTTTAATACAATTGAGAATTCAGCCTTTACCTGTTAACTTCTATATTTCAATATTTTTTTTTTCTATGTGCAGAAATTTGAGTCACCATTGTTGCAAGAAGGTATTATTATATTGTTTGGCTCGATCTTGGAGTGTAACTTATGTATTTATTAAACAATTACATTTAATATCAATTGGTTTTAAGATGAAATCTAATATACTATAAGAATCTATAATTTATTTTTACAAATCACTTATTTTGATTAGTTCGTTTGTTTAAAAAAAAATGTATATAGTATTGCAAGATCTCATATTATTTATCAATTCTTGAGATGCAACTTATATATTTGATAGGTAACTTTATTTAATATTAATAGATTTTAAGATGAAATCTAACAATAAATAAATATATATATCATTGGTGTTAAGTATTAACCAATCTATTTTTGAAAATTTGACTAATCATTTTTAATATGTTTTTTCTCCTTATTAAGTTTTTTTATTCATAAAACTCAATTTTAAAACTTTGCTTAAGTTGTCTGAACTCAATTAAATTAAGACCAGCGACTTGATTGTTCTATGCTTGGAAGATATGAAAAGAAAAGTCAACATCTTTTTGCTTCGATTAATAAAAAAGAAATTAAAAGTTGTGTTTTCATTAATGATTCCTTCTGCTAATGCGTTTGGGAATTTAGTACAATGATTAGGCATGGTGTATCCATAGCTGACTTGAGTGAAAGAAGGATAGCATGATGATTTGATGACCAAAACCCTGCCTTCATTATTAATAATGTGTCCGCCTTATTTTCAGTATGCTGTTTTCCAGTATCCTAATTGCGAGGGAAAAGTTTGTAGTGTAGCCCCCACTATCTTTTTCTTTTTCTCATTCATAAAAGGAAAGTGCCCTCCAACAACTATTTTCACCATTATGATTACAATTCTATGTAATTTCTGGAATCCTAGAGTAATAGTTAGGAATAGAATAAAGTAAAATAAGTGAATCATTTTTCCTGATTTTGCAAGTGATCTTGTTATTCACCTAAATAATGCTTTGTGCTCTTATGCAAATTAAAGCTTTTTAATAATTTTGTCTATCCAGCCACATGGACAGGCCATAACTGAGATTAACAGTTTTGGGTTAAGCTTCAGAATTAGCAACAAAGTGTGGTAATAAATGTGGAAGGTGCCTTCTAATTCAGCTGATGAAGTTTTTTTTTGTAGTTGATTGTGATGACTTGTGATTAAATCCCAGTTTCACTCAACTTACCTCCCGGTAAGAAAATTTCACACATTAAACCATATACAAGGAGGAAAAAAGAAAAATAATTAAATAACAAATGGAAGGAAATTGTAATTTTGCAATTTAAGTTACCCAACATTGATATTGAACTTAATTTGTTAAAGAAGTTATAGGCTTGCTTTTAACAGTTCTACAATGTGGTGTCTTTGTCATCACTGATAACAGTAACTCTATTTCACAATCCCTTCTCCCCAATAAAAGAAAATGGCTCTGATAATATACTTTAAATAAAAAAGACTGAAAAAAGCCATAATTGCTGCCTCGTGCCTCCCGTGATCCAATCAAAATCTCCCTCTCAAAGCATGAACAGCACTCAGAAGCAATGATAAATATAAACAATTCAAAAGTGCACCAAATAAATACATCTATAGATGAAACTATGAAAGAAACACTTGCATTAAATAAATGTAGACAAAGCATTATTCAAACTTACAATTTAACATATAAAAAACGACCCGGGTGAGGATGAAAAGGGGGAAGTCACAAAGCTAAAACAAGCAAAAGTTTTGTCATTTACAACCTTGCACCCATCTTTCCC